CCCCCAATGTTCAGTAATGTGCTGAGGTGACTGTCCTGCCACACAGTTCAAAAGCTGAAAATCTGAGATGTCATGACAGGCCCCGTGTCGCACAGGAATCCCAGCCTCCTTCACGGGTGTCTAGGTAAAACTGCTGAACGAGGCCAAAATCAGCAGGTGAAACTAAATCCTGCCTCCCCCCTCCCCCCAGGCCATGTGTGGGGAACAGCCTGCAGAGAGGTTAATTATCACCTAATGGTACACTTACAGCATCGACTATGGGGGGAGAAAAAACAATTTTCTGCTCTAATGCACAAAATCAAACTAAATGCAAGGAAGGTATCAGTTTGAAGTGTTCATGGAACCTGAACCTTGTGGGTATTCTGAATGTTCACATCACGTTGCATGAAGTGCTCACTTAAAATACCGACATGACCATGGGCCGTGAAAGTCAAAACGATGACTTCTACCGTCATCTATCTGCATATTCATTACAGGGTTTTGGGGGGGGGGGAGGGGGCAGCAGGAGCTTATCCCAGGTAGCAATGGCTACAAAGCAGGGAACACTGTGGATGTCACTCCATCCATCCATCCGTGCATCCGTCCATCCTCTAACTCAGGGCTCCCCAAGTCCCCACAGTTTGCAGACTTACCCTCTCAAACACTCCCCTATTTAAACCTGGGACACGTTCAGCTGAAAACAATGTGCAACATTTTGTTACGGTTTCTGGGTTGAACGACATGTTCCCTTCGAAACAGTGTGAAACATTGTGCAATAGACCTTGAGGTACATTTTCTCCAGCTTGGTGGGTCAGAGGTGTTACCCAGTCAGCAGTGACGTGTATGAATACCCCACTTGATTAAAACGGTAGAGCCCACAATGGATTCTAGCCATAGCTGTGACACTTGCAGAACACAACATGGTGTTCAACACACCATAGTCCATGCTGAACATAGCCTTGGTAATTATCTAATTAAGGTATGTGTTGAGCAGGAATATCTGCAAACTGTGTTGGATTCTGGCCCTCCAGGACCGGAATTGGGGAACCCAGTTCCAACTGCTTATCCTCATCAGGGTCAGGCAGCATAGGGCATAATCCTGGGCCAGTCAATCGCAGGCCAGATGCGCGCACACACACACACACACACACACACTCACACACAGGTTTGTATTCACATCTTTGTGGGGATGTCCATTGATGTTGATTGGCAAAACCCAAATCCCAACAGTGACAACCTTAACCACTACCCAGCCCTAACCTTGACCATAAGGCTAACTAATCAAAACCGTAACTATAAGGTTAACTAGGTAACTAATCAAAATACAAGACTTTTGGCATTTTTAAGTTTTTTATTGCAGTCACAGATTTTTATTAAATTGAATTTCCCCATGGTTTGCATGTTCTCCCCGTGTCGTCGTGGGGTTTCCTCCGGGTACTCCGGTTTCCCCCCACAGTCCAAAGACATGCTGAGGTGAATTGGCGTTGCTAAATTGCCCTTGGGTGTGCATGTGTGTCCCCGCAACCCAGTAGGATAAGCGGGTTGGACAATGGATGGATGGATGGATGAATTTCCCCATGTGGGGACTGAAAAAATGGTCCCTACAATGTCAAAATAACAGGTGTTTATCACACTGTGGGGACCAAAGTCCCCGCAATATAATCTGTACATGACCCACACACACACTATCATAGTTTATGGGTAACTCAGAGATACCAGTTAGCTTAACTGCATGTCTTTGGACTTCAGAGGAAACCTGCTCAGCACAGGGGAAACAAGCAAACTCCACACAGAGCAGAGATGGGATTCCAGCCCCTGGAATTAACGGTGTGAAACGGCACTGCTGCCCATGAACTCGTGCCACATGATTAGCTCAACTAAAGAAATATTAAAACTGACCATAGAATCTGGCCTAAAGCACCTTTCATTAGCTTCTGCATCCTTGAAAAAAAAATCTGGTTTTTGAGTAATTGGCTTTTTTGGAAAATTCCATTCTGGAGTTTTTTTTTTATTCCCTGACGTGCCTTAATTCCATAGCAGACGGATTTCAGGCTGCAAATTGAGAGTGAAGCATTCTTAAGCAGAGAACAGCCAGTAAAGCCCCAAGCAGTCTGCTGAGTGCTGTTCGGAGACATCACAAAGTGTCCGCAAACACTCTTTTGTTTTTAAATGTTTTCCTTGCTTGTTTGGAAAAATTCCAACTCAGCTTGATTGGCTGGAAGATTCTGAACATTTTGTTCAAAACAAACAATATTCTCAGGAAACAGCTGATGGCTTTCTGTGAAACTGTCTAGAAGTTGATCAAGGCAGTCTGGGGATGGATCCCTAAAACCAAGCCCACTGCACCAAAATCTGCTATTGGAATTAACAAATGCATTAACTCAGTAATCTACCAGAACCTGTTCTTAAATAAAGCATGGTACCGCAACAAAGTTAGAAATGTCATTTTTAGGACATAATTGCAAAAAACATGATGGCATTTTTATAAACCCTCTTTATCATAATAACAACACCTTTAGTGAAAGAGCAGAAATATTTCTAGAACCGGTGTTGAGTTGTGATTTATCTTTCACACATATCTCTGAAGGGACTCACTGCTTCTCTGAGAGAGAATACATCCTCTGTTCTGCTTCACTAGTCATTGAAAATAAATGGGATTTCTTACAGGCTTCATGAAATTTATTAATAAAAATGAGCTCTGTTCCTGGCATTTATACCATTTACCTGCTAATAAACCCAAAGAATACAAATGGACCATTATGTTCTCATAATGAATGTGAACATTTTATCTTCATCTGTGAGGATGCATAATATTTCGATTCCAGTAACACAAGCACAAACAGAAAAAATACCCAGAATCGCACAAAATGCGCGTTAGTATGAATAGCAATGATAAGAATCATTATTTATAAACATAAATGACTTATTAATTCAAAGAATGAATCACATTAAGGACTATTTCAGTAATTTGCATGCACAAGAAGTTTACAGCACGTGAAGTACATATTTTCAGTGAGATACAGGAGCAATTATGATTGTAAGTGAATAAGCTGCATCCTTCTGAGGAGGGGAATGGGACAGTTGAGCTTTGCTGGGCGTAATTTATTTTCAGTGCTTGGCAGAAACAGAAAACGGTTCATATAATTCATGTCTTGTCTTCCCAAATCTAAGAATAGGCTCCCATTAAACACTGCTGTCATCACATCGAATGCTGTTGTCCTAGGCGTAGCTACCCCAGCCAAATATACAAACCCACATGACATTTGTATAACTGCAATTTCAATACCATTAAATATCCTGCTGACAACTTCGGGCTATCTGGGTACAAATCACAGATTAATTTTCTCCTCTGGAGTGAAACTTTAATGTGTTTTTGCAAAAACAAAGTAATCTCATTAAATATTACCAAGCTCAGAAGCTCAAAGCCTATGTATAAAACCAAGCCCATTAAAAAAACAGCAAAACTGAAACTGCTTTCTGACACAGTCAGAGCAGACCTGACCTTTACATTTATCGCATTTCCATCCCCTGATATGCCAAATTTCCTTTGATTTTCCGAAAGGTGGCAGAATGTACCAAACTAGAAAGTAAAAAAAGAAACGTAAATGTCACGTTTACTTAACGTCACGTTAGCCCTTTGTAACCATTATCCACGCATCCCCTCACATCTCTTTCCCTCTGACATGCGTTTACATTCCTGTCAAACTCTTACTATCTTAAGTTTGAAATTCAGACCGCCCATTATGTAAGGCGAGGAGAAGCTCCGCTTGTGCCCATCAGTCAATTTAGCACGGCTGTTGCAGTTGCAGGAAACGTCAGCTTCCTTTGGCGCTTTCAGTATTTGTGGACCTGGATTTCCCCCATCATTCCTTTTTTTCCTCTTCTGAGCCAATGGATACCCAGTGCCTACAGAGACCAGCCAATGAAAGCCCGCCTCTACATGCACGTTCTTTAAGGACTTTTGCCTTCTGCATCTGGATTCCAGTCTATACAACAGCTTCTGGTTAAATGCAGAAAACTGCACCTTCAGCAAGTCCTAATATAGCCACGGGGAGGTTACCTTCATGCCAAAAGCGAATGTACACATCGCCATCCTACGATCCCACTTTCGAAGTGAACGAAGAAATCTCCAAGGTCTAGGACAGCAAAGGCCCATGGGAAACAGCTGAAGTGACCTACTTACTAAGTCAGTCAGCATAAGAAAGTCGTAATACACCCGTCGCTGAAACCCACCTGTCTGCACGTGCAATTAGAGGTTGGCCACAGTGACCCCGTAAACACAAACGTTGAGGGTAAACCATTCAATTTTAACTTGCCATGTTACACTTAATTTCAGCTAATGTGAAAGTGAGAGAAAATGGAGAAAAGTGACAGCGAATAGAGATTTAAGGGGTCTTAATTTTAGCAGCATCGCAGAAAGGTCTTAAATAAGAACAGAAGGCTGAGGTCTGGGTGGATTCGACTGACTTTATTGCCATGTTGCACATTTAATAGCAGGTAACCTGAAAGGGGGAGGATAAAGGCAGCGGTAGTGCTGTTTCCGCACACTAAAATTCACACAGACCCCTGTCGTGATCCCCGGGCATGGAGATTGTCCCCACCAGGCCTCGGTACACGCGGCCATGTGGCCCACTTCTCCACTACAATGACCAGAAATTAAAAGGGGGGGGGGGGTCTCAGTTCAGGAAAGATGTCAGAAAAAGCAAGACTGTAGCTCAAGATCCTCTCACCGCAGTATTAAAAGGCACAAGCACTGTGCTGAACCAACAGGGTCAGACGTCAGATCCCAGACCCTTCTCCTCCACGATGCAACTGAGCACTTCGAAGTCAGATTTACTGTTGACAGAAAACAAAAACTTGCATCAGTGAATTACGTTAGTTTTACATATTTTAAGCCCTTAATTACTCAGTACACTTAATGTGCATGTCCTCTTGGGTATGGTTTGACCTGCACTGTTTTTTCATGGACTCTGCTGAAAGCCACATGCACGGCATTATAAATGCTGTATGTGCACATTTACATCATGCCTGCAGACGTGACCCTTCTTTCATTAGAACAGTCTCATCTTTCCTAGACTTGTGGCCCATTTCCCCCACCTCATCTATTGCCCCTCTACACTGTTCTGAAAATTAATGTTTACATATATTTATTAACAATATACCATATTGGCCCAAATATAAGATGTTTTTTTCCAGAAAAAACAAAGCATCTAAATAACTAGGGTCGTCTTATATTTGAGGGCTAGAATTTAAATGTCATTATACACATACAAAAGTAGATGGTGTCAATTATGCACCTCCTGGCTGGAAATTGGCCATATACTTTAAATATGGAATTCATGTTTTCGTAGTGAGTGTTGTGTAGATTGTTGGCGTCCCTGTCTTTCCCACGGGCAGCATTAAACAGATTGTAGCTGATAATAAAGAAAATAATTTTCATTTTAAAACTGTCATCTCTTTTATTAAAATTACTCAAGCATTTGCCATGCTGTTGTATGCTGTTTGTGCTCTTTATGTGGCTCTGCTGCATCAAAAACATTCTGCGTCCTCTAGGGTTGTGGAGTTTGTATTATTGATTATCTATCCTTTCCCATCCAAATAATACATTTGTTTATTGGAATGTCTGTTGTTTAATACACTTACTGTAATGTGATATAACAGTAATATAGTTAACCTCATATGTTCTTGGCAAGTAAAATTATTTTTCTTTATAAAAGATAAGATTTGGCATTCCAAAAACTAGCTGCTGACAAAGTAGGGGGCTGTCTTATAATCGGGCCAAAACAGTAAATCCACCACACACAGAGGTATCCGCAAGACAGCTCGTACATGGACTACGCCAGATCTCCAATGGGAATGATTTCTTCGTTGATGAAAAACTCAATCGTCTCTTCCTCCCAGTCGTCAACGTTGCTGTCGAGATCATCCGTGTCCACACCTACGGATGGCAAATGCCACGGTTAACTTTCAGAAGCTGGAGAGAAATTTACCTGATATTGCTCCTCTAAATCAAACTTCATAAAACATGTTAAACCCACAGAATCATTCCAGAATCCCACAGCTTGTATTTACACCAATATGCCAAAACATTATTCCCCATGTGAAGCAAATAATGTTGACTATCTCGTAAAAACGGTGCATGTCAAATTCTGTGATATATTAGACAGTAGGCTAACATTCAGTAGCTGACATGTGGAACGCAGAAGAAACAGGTAGAGATAAATATCTGAGTGACATTGATAAGGGCCATTTCATCATGGCTAGACAACAAGGTCAGAACATCTCCAAAACAGCAAGGCTTGCGAGGAGCTCTCAGTCAGCTGTGGTGAGCACCTACTCAGAGTGGTCTGAGGGGGGGGAAACCACAAACCACTGACAGGGTGCTCAGCAACCAAGACTAATCAATGCGAGATTTGAATGAAGGCTATCCTGTGTGGAACAGACCAACAGAAGGGCTACTGTGGCACAAATGGCAGATAATATTGATGATGATCGCAGGAGTAATGTGTCACAACACATAGTGCATTTTAGCCCTGATGCGAATTGGGCTGAAAGTACAATTATAGTGAAAATACAGTATTCAAAGTAATTTATTTCATATGTGTTCTTTAGTACATATTACTATTATATTTTTGGCTTATATGTGTTACTGCTGTAAGGTGTCTTGAATAAGTTCAGTAAGTGTTGCACATTGGACAGCAGGATGTCACCCTGCGGGGATTTCAGCCTCACAAACTGCTACTGCCTAATCCCATAAAGAAATTGAAGAATACCTCGCAGACCACCGTGACTCGGAGAAGATCCTGGCCCTATTCCAGACTGAGGAAGCCCAGAAAGCAGACATGCTTGGTCTGCATGTGTTCATCTCCCACCATGGCTGTTACTGTATAGCATTAGCTATAGCCCAACCCGTAGGCGAGTGGACTCTGAAGATGGCCATTGTACCACAGCTGCATGTCAATGTCCTGCTGGGATGCGACTGGCCAGGGTTTGAGGTCCTGCTGCTGAAGACAACCCAAGCCCACGGCCGCTGCTGGGCAGGATTCCCCTGACTAGGGACCTCCCTTGAGCTGGTAAGGGATGCCATTGCTGAAGGTAAGCCTCCCACATCTAACCTTCATCCATTTTCAGAGCAGTTCCTCCTCGTTAGCCAAGTGGGCCTCCCTAAGGAGATTCGGACTAACCGGGGCTCTGCATTTACCTCCTGCACGGTGAAAAAATCTGTTCATACCTCAGTGTATCGTCCCAAGACAGATGGGCTGGTCGAACGCTTTAAATCAGACCCTTAAGTACATGCTAAATTGCATGACTGTCACGAATGGCTAGAACTGGGGACATGATACTACTATGTGTCTTGTTTGGAATTTGGTAGGTACCCCAGTCCTCCATGGGCATCACCCTCTACAAGCTCCTGTTTGGGAGACAACCCTGAGGCTTGCTTGATATAGCCAGCGAGGCCTGGGAAGAACAACCATCCCCCTTCTGAACTTTAGTGGACTGTGCAGGAAATGAAAGAGGGGATCAAGTGGGTGATGCCCATCATTCTGGAGCAAGGCAAACAAGCACAAACCTATAACCAACCTGCCCAGGTGTAGGACTTCCAGTACCATGATCAAGACTAGTGCTACTCCCCACGTCTTCCTTGCCAAATGGCAGGGACTAATCATGGTTGTGGAATTTGTCTTTTTTTCCACTACTGGGTACAGCAGCCAGGCCAGCACCAGGAGCAGCAGCTCCTCCATGTCAACTTGTTCAATATATGGGTTGACCTGAGCCCCCTGTCTGCAAAAGGACCCCCGACTGGGGCCAGACCTCTTGATAACAATGGAGTAGGATCTCTGGGTGCTGATGGCCCAGTACCACGAACTGATCTCCACCATACCAGATTGCAATGTCTGAACCACATCCCTCTGACAACTGAGAGTAACACCTTGTTTGCCTTGAGAAGGTCCTTGGATGCCATCCGTTAGGACTGGCAATCCAGCTAAATGTCACCTTAGCTTAACTGCAGCCCATTACTTAGGTTAACTTATTGTTCGTGGTCTGCTCCAACCACAGGAAAAGGTAGAGGCTTCCGCAATTACCGTCAGCCAGCAACCAAAACCTAGGTATGGCCTTTGAACTGTGCCCTCTCAAAACTTTGCAGAAGAACATTCTGTCCTGCATCTCTCCAGGAAGCTGAATGCCACAGAAACTACACCACCATGGAATGCAAGACCCTGGTCATCAACCAGGCCATGAAGAAGCTCCTGGGCTGGCCCTGGAGGACCTGGACCCACAGAACTACTCCTCTAAAGTCCTTTACATGGGTGGCTGGAAACACGATGATGCCAATGGGTAAATTTGATTTGAGTAAAATTTGACTTGCATAAGGGTTACGGTCAAAAACTGCCTATATAAATGTACACATTATTTCTTTTCTCTAAATTTGACCAGCATTGCAATCCTCCATCCATGTTCTTCCTACCTAAGTAGAGGGTGGGGGGGTTTGCTGAGCATATTCGAGGAGGTATAAAGCGTAGGTAGGGAACACCCTGGGTGAGACGCCAGTCCATCAGGCAACTCACAAGCCACACAATACGGGCAATTTGGAGCCAGTTTATCCAGCCGAATGTCTTTGGACTGCCGAGTGGGAATGGGACACCCTAGATGAGTCACATGCACTTACGTACCTCCCCGGAGCTGCAGGCGCAGGGGCCGCTGCTCCTGGTACATCTTCAATGCGTCCTCACGGTACTTCCGGTAATCCTCCTGCATGGTGCGGCGCTTGTCCACCAGCTCCTGCAGAGGTGGACGGGGAGTCACATGGTTAAACAAACAAACAAAAATATGGACAGTACGATTCAGTGTTGATGCAACAGGAGATGAGCAATCAGAGTGACAGGGAAATGTGCTTGAGTTTATGTGGTCTGATTAAAATCAAACCGAAAGATAAAAATAAAATTATGTTATTGGGAGCATGAATCACAGGAAGCCATCGACTGGGACTGGGACTGGTCATCGTCTGGGTGAATCTGCTTCAACATTGACCGTATCTTAATTTCCCTCTGGGGATCAAAAACATCATCTCATCTCACACTATGTAGATGTATCAACACCATCCAGGTTCAGGCTGTCTGGACTGGTTTATGATGGCAACCATTGTGAGCATGCAGACAAAGCACCCCCTTAAGAAAGTGAGAACTCTCACCTTAGAGGCCTTGGACTGACTCAGCCGGTCCTTCTGTTCAAAGATCTTCGAGTATTTCTTCAGATCTTTCTTGATGGTCTGAATGATGAGAGACAGTCAAAATTAATTGCCGATGCCCCAAGGGTCAGGCTTTGCAGAGATGCCCCGTACGCCTTGTTTGACCCTCACCTTGATCTGCTCCTGACTGAGAAGGGTAGGTGGTCGTGGCCTCCAGAGCAACTGGCAGAACCGATCCTTGATGTTCTTCTGCAGGAGCCGTCCTTGAAATGTCCAGACCCAAAACGCATTGTCCACCTGCGGAATGGAAATAAAGAAGGTGGACTTTAACCTCTCTTGGGCACAATAATGCATCACTTAGGCTTCTGGGTATCTCCAACAACCACCGCTAGTGGGCAGGGGAGACCATCTCATACCTTATGGCTCCACCAGGAGACAGAGGTCACCACGTATCGGCCGGTGGGATCCCACTCAACATCAGAAGCCATGTAGTGCTCAGCGATGTTCATGATCGTACAGTCCGAGGTGTCCACGAAAGCCAGGGCACCGTTCATGCTTTCCAGAAAGAGAAAATGGATGAGGTGTACTTATGGAAAGAGTGAGCCACACACACATACATTCACATGCTACACAGACTACCCACCTCCTTAGCCCAGCCAACACCAGAAACTGGCCTTGAGGACTCCAGAAGATGCTATTTGCTTGCTGTTTATCAAACATTTCTGAAGAACAAGCTTGTGTTAGACTTTGTTTTCAGGAAACTGGAAGAGAACATCCTGGAACACATTTCAGACTGATGTAAGGGTCAGTTGTAAATGGACACTTACTGATCAGTTCGATTTTGCCGTTATTCTTCACGTGGTAGAAGGACACGTTGATGCGGGGCGACTCGCCATGGAGGACGGCGAACTTGCTGCCATTGGGCTCCCAAGCGAAGGCGATGATGCTCTCTGAAAGGGGCAGCAGGGCAGGGACTGGTCATAATAACCAAGAGTGCATATTCGCCAATGTCACTGTAAGGAGCCCAGCTCACCCTTCATCTCCACCACGTCCACAGGGACCTGCTTCTCCCTCATCCGGAAGATCTCAAAGTTGGTGACCACACCCTGGTAGATGGAGAAGTGAGAGACTAAACTGGGGTGAGGGATGGCGTTACAGGGCAACCAAAAGGGCTTGGACTCCCTTCTCAGACAGGGCAGGTTTCAGTTCATGCAAGTAATGCGAGTGACGTTTCGCTCTGGTGGTCATTTTAAGGAAAATGCTATTTGCACCAAGGAGCCAGCAGACAACAATGCTACTCAATTACAAATTCCATGGCTAATGTTATTGAAGTCTTGCAATTTTTTAACAACCCCCCAAAAAAACAAAAAAATCTAAAATTCCGCCCAACATGCTACATGTAAGAGGGGAATTCTCACCCTGTACTGAGTGCTGACGATAGCAAAATTACTTTGCGCCTTCAGCTCGCTAACTACTGCTAAAACAAGGGTACATTTTGTGTTTAATGTACCAGAACTTTTACATCTGCATCCCACTTTGGCGCCTTCAGCTGTTCAAGTAACGTACAACCATGCATGCAACACAGTGTTTATGTTTTTTTGTGGAGCCAGGGAGCAAGGAGTGAGAAGGCGGGGTGTAAATAGCCAAATAGATGCCATGTCACTATTTTCACTGGGGTGCAAATAGACACTCCAATATTTTAATACATTTTAGAAAATGGCACTTTCCAAAGTTCAGGTTACAAGCCTACATAGCTAACCACTTTGTCACCTAATCACTATTACACTCACTTTCAGAAAGGGCACCACTCAACAATCAGGAAAAGATTATCCCTTCCATGAATGAGCTGGAAAGAGTACCTGTGTGCCCTTAGGGGTCCGGTCCACCTTCACGCAGAGGTAGTCACCGTTCTTCTGCCAGTGTAATTTGCAATCCACCACGTTGAAGAGATTGCGGACTCTGATCTCTTGTCTGGATGGCATCTGCATCAGAGTGACCCTTGCTGGAATGTCTTTGTCCTCTGGTACCCAAAAGGCAATGATGTTGTCTCCTGGAGACCAAGAGAAGTCCCTAAAAATAAAAACAGAACCACATGCACTTAAATCTTCTGTCATTTGGATTTCCATCTAATGCTTACTTCTAATGTCCTTTGCCAAGTGTTTACGGGTTTGATAAAACTGATGACTACACATCTAGCCATATGTAGAAAAAAAAAGCAGGAAGAGCTATTAAAATGATATTCATCGTTAGATTACAAATTTAACATGGGTCTCACTTTATTCCACTGATCTTCAGACTCTTCTTGTCTAGAAGCCCCATTGACTGTGGAAAAGCAGAATACAAGTATAATGTGAAAGAATAAAACAAACACAAGCTATACACTCCAGGCCAAACAATGGGCCAAAGATTATTGTCGTGTAATTTGGGTTCGGCCCATTTGTTCTGCCCAAGAGTGTATTTCAAGGCAGTGATTCTCAACCCACTCCTCAAAGACCCCGATATGATGCATGTTTTTGCTCCCTCCTAGACAATCCACAGTCCCCAAGGGCCGATTTGAGAAACACTACCTTATGGATCCTAGGGGTATATTTGGTGAAAATAGACCTTGGAAGCAGAGGATGGTAACTAGTACGGCAAAAAAAAAAAGCAGAAACCCTGTGAGAGGTTTGACTCTGAATGCAATCAGTTTAATATAATTCTACTAGACCCAATAAAGTAACCAGCAGGATGTGGAACAGGAAGTGGACCCATTAGTAATGAGTAATGTACAGTTACTCCATCTGCCACAGTTTCCAACACCCTTATACAACCATCCATTTCTTTACTCTAATACCCATCAGTTAAACCCAAAGGTGTCATTAGAAGGACCATTTTGGAGGGGCTGATGAAGGACCAGCAGGTAATACTCACTGGTGTTTCATAGATGCTGAGGGTGTCCTGGGTCATTCTGGCAAAGAATTTTCCATCATGACTCCACCTGGGAAAACAGGTGATGTCATAATAATTTACCAGTACAAGCTGAAGCAGGATGAGGAAAAGAGATGGTCTGCAAGCCTGGCGACATCACTCACCACACTAAAGGTTCAAAACATTCAGAAAAGCCATCCTTCCTCAATACAACTCATTACTCTCGGTCCTCACCTAAACCTACACAGCCTGAATCGTGCGGAAGATACCCCTTCAGAGGGACCCTGAGCTAGGCAGACTTACTTAAAGATAGGCCAGTGTGTTGAGCTCTCGCAGTGGAAGCCTCTCTTCTTCTGTCCAGTCAGGATGTCCCAGATTATAATAGCCTGCGGATCTTCCTTCGTGTCCATCAGGGGACTAAAGGTTACCACATATCTAAAAAAAAAATACAGAAAACAAACACCTGATTGGTCATCGCCATGCAACTCAATATTATCATTTATCCTGATATTTTTAAATTTAAATACAGTGGAAACCGCTTATAGTGATCACGGTTATAGTGATCAACCATTTATATGGATCAAAAAGCTTGGGACAAAATCATTCCTGTACAAGTGCCTTACTTAGCCTTGCAGTAACCCATCTGCTTCTGGCTAGCTACCTGAGGCTAATGCAGCGCGTACAGAAAACATGTCAGGAAAAAGGACATATTTTTCTCTCAATGACAAATATACACACATCAAAGCTTATGAAAAAACGCCAAAAATGAGTCAACGAGATGCAGCAGCCAAACTACAATAAGCACTTTGAGATGATGTAATGTGAAAATGCGCTGCATAAATTAAATAGAATTTAATTGATTATGTACAGCACTGTATTATAGCGTATTTGAATTACACACAGTTTAGTAATTTAATTTGTAGAGTACTGTCATTTGTTAAGTGTTTAAAACAGCTGTACTGTATTTTGAAATTGTCAATAAAATTACGTAAATAGCGACACTGTTTAAGTCCACTTATTTTTTTTATATAACTGGTAAAGTACGCTGTAAAACTGACAAATTAGTTATACATCATTAGACTTCAAAACATTAAAGAATTCATTAAACACCATTTTACTGCACTACTGTAGACCCATTACTGTCATCCATTTCTGAAACACATTACAATAATCGCAACCTGCTAATGTTAATCATCGTAACATGGAAAGCCTTTGCGTAAAAAGAAAGAGCACCTTTCACAGGGTGAGAAGTCAATCAGCTGGACGCCCTGGTGGCTGAACCTCTGGATCTGCTTGAACTTCTCCCCCCCCCACAATGCGATACCCCTCTGGTGGAACGTGGCCAAGTATGTACCTTTGGGAGACCAGCGGACGTAGGTCTCTGTCCAGCGCTGGGGGGACACAGAGATGAATTGGGTTAGGCTAGTGTTTCTCAAACCAGTCCTCAGGGACCCCAGACAGTCCACATTTCTGCTCTCTGGGAATAAAGGAGGAAGCAAAAACTTGGATCGTCTGGGGGCCCCAGGGACTGGTTAGAGAGACACTGGGTTAAGCCAGATTAAACCCACCAAAGCAGGAGCAACAGGGCCAACCAGAGAAAGGCAGCCCAGTGAAATCACTCACCGGCCGTTCCTCGACCAAGATTGGCTCTTTGACGTCATTGGAGAATATTCCTGTCCTTTCACCAGATTCAAAGATCACGCTGTACTGATCACGACAGTCAGGGTCCTCCAGCCAGTGCCGCAAGTTCCCCTTGGGTGAATGTCACACACAAACCCGTAGGTGTCAACTATACCTGGATGCCGTTTACTGTGCCAGGTGGGAACACCGTGAGGCGTAACAGTAGGATGGTACTCACAAAGTCTCTGAATGGCTGTTTCTCGGGTGTCTCCCATTCGTCGCTGATGTTCATGTACCTGGAAGGAGGAAAAACAAGTGTAGAAAAGGTATAAGAAGAGGTATAGAAAGGGTATAAGAATACATGTAGACACATAGCACTTACAGTAGGACATGTACCTCTCCCCCAGAGGTGACAAGACGCTTATCCTAGCTTGAACAGATCTAGAAACAGACACTGCCGTGCCTGAGATATGGTAGAGTAAGCTGAGTTCTAATAGAATGAAACCCCAAGTCTTTCCCGATAAAAACACAAGACCGTATATGTTTTGGGAGTCTTGCCATTGCATCGCCCAGACATCATATTTCCCTCATTCAGCAGAAGATTTGTCCCACCTAACTAGGCATTTTCCTCACTGTGGTCTCCTGCACATGGACAATCTGCTTTGCACACACATCAGGTCTTGACAGAGAAACTCTCGAGGCATAATGATAAATTACGCACAAGTTTTTTGGCTAAAAACATAATAGAATCTTACTTGTCAAAGTCTGTGAAAATGTTGACCCGGAAGGTGTGCTGCTTGTCCAGCTTGTATCCGTCAGCATTCTTCACGGCTTCTGCGGCTTGGCCAGGGGAGGTATACTCGAGGAAGATATACCTGAGGACGGAACGAGGGGTGCCGCTTATGAACATCAGCGCCATCTGCACATCCACCCACAGGTACAGCCAGCTCAGCAAGAGTCTCCGGGACAATACACAGGCACACTGACCCCTTGGTCTTGCCATCAGCCTCAGGGTAAAACTCGTTGGTGATCTTGCCAAACTTAGAGAAGATCTTATGGATGACATTTTTCAGCTTCTCCAAGCGCTCTGGTCCAACCTGTGGAACGTTGTCCACCACAATGACAGAGTCGATGCCATCTGCCTCCTGAGGTCTCTCTCGGAGGACGTCCTCCAGGAGCTCTAGAGAACACAAACTGCCCTGAGCCACTGCTGTCATATACAATCGACCCGCCAAACAGCCACATGGCCTCTTTATTTCTGCCTGAAATCTGGTGTCATTTTAGAATGCTGTTAACCTTAAGCAAAGCAGAGGAAATAACAGAATAGCAAAGGCATATTCATCAATGAATGGATGTCTGGTGCACAGACGATCTTATACATGCAGAATCGTTATCCGGAGAGGTATCAAGCCATCTAACCTTATCACAACTGGAGCCAAGACTTATTATCAATAGCGAGGTAACATACGCTACTAATGCACTGATATGCACCATCGATATCCAACTCTGTAGCCAAATCAGTTATTTGACATTGACATTTCATGTGTCAGCGTCGGCATATATGTGCATATATATGCGTACTTGTGCTTGCAATCTACTACCCAGCGATTAGCACCGAGTAACAAAAGATGGGAGATTACTGAGCTACTACGGGTAATTAGCACGCATTCTGCTGCGCTGTTTAAACTAACTGGTTAGTTGCATTTCAGCAGATTAAGCGGCAGGCCGCAGATCCAGCTCTCCAGCTGGCCGATCTGGGCAGCTTTCTCACCCTGATCACTGATGTCGTCTTCAAAGTCCTCCGGGTCGCTAAAGGAAGGCTCCTCGCCTTCTTCAAACTCAACTTCGTCCTCCATAACAGTATCCCGCATTTAAGGCGTGTCTCGCCGATTCAGATGTAAAAAAAATACTGATGATTGATTTTACAACCACAATAAAGGATTTTTTCCTCAGCATACCATGTGCACTACAACCGGCACGGACCCCAGTCCTCGCTGGAAAAGGACCGTACCTACTCAAAAAAAAATAGGTAAACAATTTTTAAAAATCTATTTCATGCAACACACTAAGAAACTCATATATGTTATTAAAAGTATTTTCAGTATTTATTTTTAGTCATAAAATACTCCAAAACAAAACCGTCATAAGGACTAATTTAGTCAGCGAACCTGACGCTGGTCTCCCTCGATGCATTGGTACATTTGGTACGTTCCAAAAATGGACGCTTACCAGTGTGAATTTTTTTTTCTTTTTTTAAGACTTGGATATATCGTGATTTTTGTTTCTATGAAATGCTGTAGCTACTGGTCTGTCATATTCTACTATAGATTTCATTAAGCGGCGTGTTTTTTTTTTTTTTTTATCCGGAGAAGGCTATATAAATGCACCCAGCGTAGCATGCAGTTTTGCGTTGAATTAAAAGACGCCACATGTAATATTCGTATTAAAATAACCAAGGTGCCAGTTTTAACCTTTTTCTTTCTTTTCATACACACACACACACATACACACAAACATTTTACACACACACACACACATACAAACACTCACACACACAGACATACATACAAACATTTACACACACACACACATACATATATATATTTGTGTGTCTATGTGTTGTAGTGCTGGGGGGGATTAGCATATCCGGCATGCCCGCGGGTAACTGTAAATAGCCCCTTGATGTACTGTTCTTGTTAGCCGATTGTGGAGTGTATGTTTGCCTGTCTTGTGTGAACCCTGTATGATCCTCGCCTGCCCTTAGCCTTGTATAAATTTCCCACTGTGTGTGTTCCTTGCAGTGTTCTGTCGTAATATCCTACCTAGAGACGTGTTATCCAGCCTTTCTGCGCATGTGCATTTCCACTGTCTTGGGATTAAGGTTAGGTTCAGTGTTGCCACTTTAGCGACTTTGTCGCTATATTTAGCGAGTTTTAAGACCCCTCTAGCGACTCTTTTTCAAAAAAGCGACTAGCGACAAATCTATCGACCTTTTCTGGTGTTACTGGATACTTTTGGAGACTCTGACGTTAAAGCACGTATCGTCCTTGCTCTTCTCACCGGGCAGCGGGTGCTGCCGTGGGCTCCTCTCCGTCCCAAAGCACTCACAGGCGCCCAGTCAGCGCGCAGCAACCCCGCCCAGCTGCAGTCACAGCAGGAGATGTGCATCATTTTCTCACATTGCCATTGACAGTTTTTTTCAATTGGCCTTTTTTGGTCCATTTACAGTAGATTGTTAATGTAGATTTTATACAAAAAAATGTTATGGTTAAAAATGTTTCACTTGTTTACTGTGACTTGTACACTTAAGCAAACTTAAAAAAATAACTCCGCCATTGTCTCTTTGGGGTCACTTTTGCCGGTGATATAAACGTATCTATGGAAAAACACTTTTTTGTCTCTCCCACGATATTATTCCTCTCTCCTACAGCGTCCATTTCAATTACATTCACGTTATGCAAATGAGGCGATGGCGTCATTTAGCGACTTCTATAGCGACTTTTGGGACAGCCAATAGCGACTTTCCTTGCTGAAGAGCTGGAAACAGTGGTTAGGTTTTAGCGGTTAGGGTTACGGTAAGGGTTTTATGGGTTGGGGGGGGGGGGTTAATGTTAGGGTAAGAGTTAGGGCTAGGGCAGGGGTGCCCAATCTTATCCGCAAAGGGCCAGTGTGTATGCAGGTTTTTGGGATAACCTTTAGGTCAGCTGTTCAAACCCAGGTGTGAGGACTCTTCAGCCAATCAGTCCTCTAATTAGTAATCTAATTAGGGAGTTGCAGCGAAAACCCGCATACACAGCGGCCCTTTGCGGATAAGATTGGCCACCCCTGGGTTAGGGCTATCGATTAGCACTATGGTAGGATGTTTTATAAAAGTTGTGTTCCTCCTTCCAGAAATACTCCTTGTCTTTTGCCGCCGCTATGCCTCGGTCTACCAGTCATTCCCACTTTAAGGATATTGTTTTCAGGGAGGCAGATGAGGGGCATCCAGGAGGGCGGGGGTGCTGGTCAATGCTTTAATGGCTGGTATCATATATATGTATATATTGCAGACTAGGGTGTGGTTGGGGTTTGGTGGGCAGGATAGATTGGTAGTAAAATGTGGAGCAAGGTTACAGCGGTAAATGTTTTGCTGGCTAATTTTACCCCCGCTGATCAGCAGGATGACAGATTTCTGGGACATTGCACATCATTTGCACTCGCAGGATCAGTGTTGGGTAAGTTACTTTAAAAAAGTAACTAATTACTAATTACTAATTACTTAATCAATGTTGTATTTAAAATACTTATCTAATTACTGTGTCTGAAAAGTAACTTAATTACTCAATAAGTAATTTAACTAAATACTTCTTAAAATCCCTATAAACCTTCAGTGGACAAACAATAGAAATTAAATTCTTTAAATAATAAATAATTTTTAAAAAACCATATGAGTCAAACATGAAATAGTTTAGCCTTTTACCTTTCTGAATCATCTTTATTACATTCTATAAAAAAACATTCTATAATAATGAGTCTGTTAATGTGAGACTTAAATGGGATTCACTAATTACCAGTATCACTTAGTAACCTGGGTTAGAAGGCTTGTCCAGTGAGCTGGGTCACCAGGTAATGTAAACAATGGGTAGCGAAGCCCCCCTCACGGCCGATGAGAGAGAGTCTCGCGATGTTTCAGGCGAGTTTGAGGTTCAGAGCGTGTAGCAAGATCGCACAAAGGCAGGAACTTATTATGAGACACTCAATGACGGAGGCTAAAGTTGTGTAAAAGACATGCATTTATTCCTAGTTGGTTTACTTGGTTGAAGAGTGGGGGGGGGGGGCCTTGGCAGTTGATGGCAGAGCTGCTGAGCCGATGGCACTCAGGAAGGCGCGGCGTTTG